GTTCATTTTATTTATCTTCAATGATTTATAAATTCATTTATTATTATTATTAGTGAAAAATAAAAAGATTTGTAAAAAACTGATCGTCACATTTGATGTTTGAAGTATAAAAATAAATTGATTCTTAACAAAAAAATTTTTTTCGGCAGGATATTAGTGTTATTGTTTCCATCTAAGAATAATTTTTGTATACATTCTGATGTACAAAGTAGAAGCGAGTGTTAGTATAATTTAATACTAAATAAATTTCTACATGTTATGATTTGATGATAATCATTGAAAACTCGGAAACTTGGACAAGAATTACATATTTGAGGACTAAAAAAATGATGTCCTTCCATTTTCCTTAAAATTATAACATATAGAAAACAAAAAACAAAAAGATTTTTATCTGACTTAATATCGAAAACAAAAGATCTTTTCAACTGATTTAATATACAAAACAAAATTCAGAAAAGTTTCCCTTTATTTATATTTAAATATTCTCCCGATTCTTTTTCAAACAAATGTTTAAGTACAAAGAAACAAAGAAATATTCGCAGTTTCATTTTATTATAGCCATATCAAAAGTATATTTCCATCACTCGTGTTAAAAACTTCCGTTCGAAAAGAACGAGTATTTGAATTCTGAAGATCACGCAATCTTTTTTCATAAAATTTACCGCGTTTGGATAAACCAACGAGAGTGAGAAAACTTAATTTTGAAAGACCATTGATCAGTATATTTGCCACTTCAATAATTTCACAAACAATACCATGTAGTTTTATGACTTCCAAATGAGGTAGTCGCTCCACAATAGAATAAGCAATGTTTAACAAATTTGGTTGTTCCCAAACAGTAAAAAGATTGAGTTGTCGTAAACCATTTGACATGAGCATGTTACACAAAGAACTATCGCTGAGGAGATCGATTAAAGTTTCTTCTTTTAAACCAATTTTAGTATCAAATTCTAATCTATAATGCAGTTCTAGAGTACGTAGATTCGTTGCTTGCGAAAAAAGAAGATGAAGATGATTTCGATTGAATGGTTCACCAATACTAAGTGATGTAACGTGATGCCAAGGAATTAAGGGTGGTGAAAAAGAAAGAAATTCATCGTTCATTCGATCATAATGTTCACTCATAATAATTCTATTACAGCGAAGCAATTGATTGTTGAAGACAAATCTATTATCTGACCATGGACTTCGTCTAAATTCAAAAAAATGTTTGTAAAAAAAAACAACTGTCTATCCGTACCCATGAACAATATTTTTATGTAGATAGGAATAGACACATAACCATTTATTCATTCTTGGTACTGTTAAAGCTCTAATAAAATACATGTTTTCTTCTAAAGATAGATCTAATTCAATTGGCACTGGTCCTTTGAGCTGTTGAAATGTGTCGAATAAAATTTTGCTTGTTTCCGATATTGACACTACAGTTTTAACAGACCATGTGATATCAAACGAATATAAACATTGACTGGAAAGCATAAATTGTAAATTGTGAAGAACATGAAGACCTGCCACTCGCGCTAATAATGTGAAGCTCATTAATGAAAATAAAACATCAGGTTCAAATAATTCATTAATCGATTCTGGATTCATTATAGAAGTACACCATTTTATTGTTAGACGGTATAGATTTGGAGCAAGACGTTTATTAATGGGAGTGATTCGACTAAAATAGATTAATAAGACCACTTTGCAACAATAAAAAATGCATTACTGATATTATTTAAATATTTCATGGACCGAAGTTTTCTATTATTTATTTACTCCAGTTCATATGCCAGTGTCAGTATTCTTCCTATATATTTATTGTGTTCATTTAAAAAACTAATATATAACGCAATTGTAATTCATCAACTATTTAAAATCTCCTCGCTATTGTTAATATTTGACTGTAAAAGTAAATACGAATTATTGAAAACGTATCTTATTATTTTATAAATAATTCAGTTTTAACTTTAATTTCTTCTGATAAAACGATTAGATATTGTCTCTTCTATCATACGCACCACATTGAGTTCATAAATTAAAATATACATTCAATTAAAGAAAGAAACTTACTTGTAATCACTATGTCTTAATGGATGGTTGTTAGGTAGCCAAGGATCAGTCCGTGTATAAGTGAGTTGTTGCAATTGTGGAAGATGTTCAAATAAATGTGATAGAAAGCTTGGTGAGCAATAAAGTGTAAGTGTTTGTAAATTTAAAAGACCGATTTGAACAGGCATAAAAGTTCTGTCAGGTGGTAGAATGAGTTCACTGTCTAGAGTAGAATGTATATATCGCCGAAAAAGTAGATGACATACACGTAATGAAGGAAATACGTGAAAAATTCGTTCATAATATGCACCTTCAGGTACACCTATAAAAGTATAATCAGCAGGATGATCATTAATTGAAAAGGATACACTAAACACGATGAGAGAATTAATAGGTGATGAGTTAAGAATCAATTCAAAAGACGAACGTTTAATATCGATTAAAGATAAATGACGAAGATTGATAAATGTCGATACATGTTCAGCTAACCATAAACCATTATCGATAGCTAATGTATCTGAGACACATAATGAAATAAGACGACTGGAGATGTTTGATTGTGATAAATGCATATAATAAAATTTGGTCACTGCTATACTCATTCCGTTCAAACCCAAATAAACGGGAATAAGTGATAGATTGTCCATAATAGCAGCAAATCGTGAATTAAGATTAGAAAAAATATTAAATACTTCATAAAGCTGGAAATAAGTAAATATTTCTAGGAATATTTCGACAGAAAGATTCTCTAATGTTGTTACCATGATTTGTTTTAATGTCATCATATTGAATATTGTGCATCATTCTTATAAAATGGCTTCACAAACAATAATACAAAGCATTATTGTTCTTTCTTCCAATAGTCAGCGCAAGAAGATGATATAATTATTGCTATTCGTCAGCCTCATAGGTCATTGTATATACGGTTTATGTTGTCTTTTTTTTCTTTTGATCATTTCTCTCAATAATCTGTTTATTATAAGAGTTGACAATAGAATTTTTCGGATAGTCATGAATTATCTTTTTTGCTTTCTTTATATGAAACTCTTTTTTTTCTTTTTTTTTTGTTATCACATATGCTTAAATATTTTTGGAAAAAATACTGCATAAGAATTATTAATAATAATTAAAGCATCAATTATTTTTTTCATCGTCATGTGTCATCATTTGACTTCCGATGATCATTTTTTTTAAATGAACTTTGGACATCACTTAAATAGATTTTTGATCAAAAGGAAATTAAAAGTTCTTTTTGTTTTTATTTGAAAAAAATACTAACATTTTTCATAGTATAGCAAATAATGAACAAGCTGTATTTTTCATTCGGTATCATATAAGATGGCAAATGGTGTAGATTCAATTGCTTCTTCTGATTAGATCACACATCTAAATCTGTTTTGATGATATGAAAATATCCAACATTTTGTGTGAATTTCATTCCTGTACTCTTTTCAAATTTAGTATTTTATTTCTTTAATCCAACAATGAACTCCAAACATTGTGTGATTTGAACATGAATTGCTCAAAATCAAAAACAGATAATGTCGAACTTCAATTTTAAATAGAACTAGATTACATTTGAAATAGTAAAAAATGCAATTTTTTTTATGCAGTTTTTCAAATGATAACTAATTTTTCAAATGAGATGTGTCACATTTTATTATTTCAATAAAGGAGACATAGCATACTGATGTATCTTTGATCTGTTACTATAATAATAAATGTTATCATCTAATTAATGATGCATATTATATTTTTAAGATTTGATTGTATTTTTTCGCTTAATTCAAATAATGATGTTATCATTTACTTGATTAAATATTAAAGTATTTGACTGTATAATTTACATATAGCCTTAGTTTCTATTTAATAGTGGTATCGGGAAAGATAAAGATAATATTTTTCTTCAATTAACTTATTTAGATTCAAAATTATTGCATGAACGTTTATCACATATTAGTGGAACACCAATAATATTTTCCAGTATTCATGTCACTAAATAACCAATATCTATTTTACCAACCATTCAGGATAATACAGATGCTGTACAATTGAATTATAAAAATCAAGTTATAGAAGAAAAAAAAATGGAAAAGGTGTTGTTCTTGTTGTTAAAGATTTACAACTAAGATCGATAGGAAAAGCGTAATAGAAAATGGATTCATTTCAATATATGCATAAACTGAGAATCTTAGTATTACATCACTTAAATTATGTTTATTTTTACAGCAATGAGTAGGTGAATATGATTATTCAAATTTGGAAAAAAAAATTCAATTATTCATCAAAAACAAAAACTAATGGATCAATATTGCCGTAAATATACTTTATCACACAAAGACCCTCGTACTGGCAAGATAAAAGAAAATAAATTTATTCGTATATTTTTCCTTTCTTTTGTTTTAGACTATTATAACATATTGACCAGTTATTGATAAAACTTTAGATCAAAATTGTTTTCAATCAGTTCCACCAAAATCTTATATTTATTAAAAAAATTTAGATTAATTTTCTCGATGTTTCTTTCTTCTGAATAAGTTTTTTTTATCGTTGACATTCAACCATTGTATTATAATCATTCCCTAGTCCACTCTCCCTTGTCAAATCCTCGGGGAATCCCTGCTAAAACTCCCCCGGGATTCCCGACATGGACTCCCCAGGGATTTCAGAGGGAGTTTCCAGGGAATCCCCAGAGATTGTTTAGGGAGTTGCTTGAAAAGTGAAGAATGATTCATTATCGACGTAATTGAATTTCATTCCTTAGAATGAAGAACTACCTATTTATGCACATTCATAACAATTTTGTTTTCATTCACTGTTGATTTTCATGTGTATTTTCAACAAAACAAATGCTTTCAATATCTTATATGAAACAACGTGAAAACAACAGAACTACATAGTAGAACTACATGAGAAAAAATATGTTGTCTTTCTAGCTGTTCTAGTTCATTGTGATGATTCAATTAAAAAGTTTGATCTTCGTTTTGAAATTGTGTATGACCATCTTCTTCTATAATTTCAACATCTTGAACAGGTGCACCATCATCATCATTGGCAATATTTCCATCTAATTTTGGTTTCATGACTTTCAAGTATCTCACATCCTTGGTTAATTGATTTCGAGCTTCTTTCAATGACGCATATAATGCATTAATTGTTCCATCGTTTAAAGAAAAACCATTTTGTAATGCATCTAAAGGAGAACAAAGAATGCAAAATAATACTTATTTGAGAAACAAAAACAGTTACCTATAATAGTTGCATAGCGTTCGTCTCGTTCATCTAAATGCTTATTCGATAATATTTCATTACGTGCATATATTGCCATGGTCATTTTTCGAAGGAATGACCGGATCGAAGTTAAATCATGCTTTAATTGCATTAAATTTGTATCTTTAAACATCTGAAATCAGAAAAAAAGAGACTTTATTGATATCTATCTAAGAGAGAAATATACCAAAACTTTTTTTGATGAACTTGAGCTAGAAGGTGATTGACTTGTCGAGTTCCGTAAAGATGAAGATGTGGCTAGAACTTCTGATACGTTTTTCGGTATAATATGCTAAAAAAGGTATATGCTCTTTTTTTATTGAGATAACATATAAGACAAGGTATAGGCTTCATCTACACGTACGTTATGAATGATCTTGATATTTTTCAATAATGGTTTTAATTGGACAGCAATTGAAGCCACATCTTCACCAAGAGTATTTACATACACTATTAAATTATTAATAGCATCTTCAATATTTGCCAAACGATCAGCTATTAGAAAAATAAAAATTAAGGATAAAGTTCCTTTTTCAAGTGTTTGAAAAGCATATATTGATGGAAACATACCTGGAGAAAGATGCTTAGATGGTGACGATGATGGCAGAAACGCTACTGGTCCTTTTTTTCGACGAGTTTGTTCATTTGTAGAAGATTTTGTAGAAGATTTTTCCTTCGGTGGAGAAATGTGTGGAACTTGAGAAAATTCTGATACTGGTGGAACCACAATACTCGATGATGCATCTTAGAAAATATGAATTTTATTTAGATTGATGATAGGCGTGTTAATCATATTCTTCCTCCCTCAAGGACATTACGATTTTTGAGTTGAAGAGAAGAATAGTATGGAAGGACTGATTAATAATTCAGTTTCAAATCCTATCTTTATTGTTGTTTATTAAACCTAAATGACACTTACTAAAAGAAGTTTCATTGAATGAATTTTGACTACGACTATTAAATTCAACTCTCGAAGAACATTTTGTGAAATCTGAGTAAAAAAACGATAGTTATACGTTTTATCACAGATATTGAAAATGATAAAGCTCACTGTTGTATGGAGACAATGATCCTCGATTCCCATTTAGGGGTGGTCATTTAGTATTACTTTAATAAATAAAGATAAATGAATGCTTTTTTTTTAAAAAATAAAGATAAATGAATGTTTTATCTTTAGAAAATAAAGATAAATAATCATTTATTTTAAAAAAATAAATGTAAATGAATCATTTATCATTGAAAAATAAAGGAAAATAAAGGAATAAAGGATTATTTTTTTCGACCGAAAATGAGACTAAAAATATTCCAGGATTACAGAAGTC